ATATTATAATACTAGTTAATACTAGTATTATAATATATTAATGCTAGTATTATACTAGTATAATACTAGTATAATACTAGATTAAAATCTATATTATAGATTTTAATTATACAGTTGTTTCCTATTATATATATATATATATATTAATTATACAGTTGTTTCCTATTATATATATAATAGGAAACAACTGTGTAATTAAAATCTATAATATGGATTTTAATTATACAGTTGTTTCCTGGCTCGTTTCGAAATGTTTCTTTCGCTCATCGTACGAGATAGTTGTTGAACTGTTGAAACAAATCGCCCACATTCAAACAGACTCGATTCCCTGTGCACATGTTTGGAGGCGTGACTAATCCTGTACCAGTTGATGACACTACCAGGCGATTTACACGTAATCCGACACCTATGATTAAATACCTTTATTAAAAACCACTTACACTGCTCTTATGAATGTTTTAGGGACGGAGGGTTTGTCGGGATGGATGGGGCTGGGTTTGGCGAGATGAGGTAATGGGGGCTTTGTTCCCCTGGGAACTCGCTCACCTGTCTAATATCTCACGAGAGTGGCTATATCTGCGCCCATACCAATAGCAACCAGTTATACATGGAGCTTACTGAAAATTAATCGCTCAGTTTTCAGAATTCTCGCGATCTCTTTAATCTTCCGTTTTCCACTCTTAAATATATGTAGATCTTTCCAATAATGTATTAATTAATAACTAAAATACCGGCAGATTTATCGAGAACACAGTTGCTTCCAATTGTTGTAAATTCAAAGCAATGCTATTATATCGATCTTCTTATAAACATTTTATTTCCATTTCTTGCAGTTATTTATCACTTGAGTATTATATATAGTTTCTACAAAAATTTACGAAATATTTTATTTAACATAGTGCTCGATTTTGGAATATTACCGAGCTGTTCAATTCGGAACTATCTCCAAAATTTCTGAAATGTGCCACGTGGTTTAGTGATTAAACAAATATTGATTAACAGACAATATTGCGAATGCTAATTTGAAAGTAAGATATCATAATAATTATGAAGGTAATAGCAGAAAATTGTATAATGACCATTACACATAAATACATGACTATAATAAGTACTTATGGCTTTGTAAGAGGAAAATACTTCGAAAATTCTAATTACTTAAAAGATTACTAAATAAATTTTGTATCACTGCTTTATTGCACGATAAAATAATAAAAATGTAATTATAGTTTCTTCAAAGATCGACTATTATTTAGAAGAGCACGATACAATGTGACAAGTACGACTGAACGTGTGAATTTGAATTGTGTACGGATTTTTATGAACGATTAATAGCAATGAAGCTGGTTTTAGCGAGATAAAAGCATCCCGCAGATGTTGTTTTCAGCAAGGCTGGAGCATCGATAAATTTTCCTTCAATGAAAGCGTTCTACAGCAATTTGTGCACACGCTAGTAGGCCCTTCTTTACACAGGTGTTTGATTGATCATTTCAATTATGAGGCGCAGCGTGCATCAAATGCAGGAGTAAAATTCACATCATGAAGAGAATCGCTTATTCGGGAATTTTACCAGCCGTAGCAGCAATAAAATATATGGCCAACGAGTTCAATCTTATACTATTTTTGCACCAGTCAATCTCATACAAATTATTCCTTTTCTATCCATATAATGATACGCGGATACGTTATCTTCTTCCAAACACATTTCTAAATGTACAGTATCTTCAATCGCTAATATAACTATCGATTCCGCGAATTTAAACATTTATTGCACAGATAGTACCTTCAGATTTTAAACATTTATTACACAGATGGAAGCTCAAAGATTGCATAAAGTAATAAATAGACAGCGAATCTTTATGCAAAATAGAAATTGTCTGCATCACCTGCAAGGCATAAGAGCCAAACACAAGTTCTATTCTTTCTTTAACAATTTTAATATGTTCAAAATATAATACATCAATGTTCTTAGTTTCTTTTCGTCTTTTCTCTGTTTGAAATTATGCTTACTCATTTGTGTCGTAAATACAACAAAATTCGCAGTCTAGTAATTAATTAAACTCCGCAAGTAACCAGACATCGAAAATTTTCGGAATGTTTTGTTTCAAATCGTTGTGCCCAAACGTGTATATAAGATTCTTGCGTTTTTCTATCAAAATTTGAAAATACACAAACGTGAGAATACAAAGTATTTACGGCCATCTTCCAGGGTAAACGACTGCCTTTTTTCCCGAATATGTTGAAAGATGTTTTAAGGGCTCACAATGGTTTCCTGGAAGAAGCGTGGATACTTATCCGTGAGATTCCGTGTGCGGCGACCATGTCGTTACTTCCTCCTTTCACACCTAACGAAAAGGTGATGCACGGCATTTCGTTACACGTACCCAAGGCTCAATATTTGTTTTCGACACTTACATGGTTAAATTTCTTAAGACAGTTTTTAGACGGCATACTTTAAGCGCGATATCGTTCATAAAAATATGTTTCTTCACTGATCCTGTGACGAGACGATCTGAGCTAATCGTATTAAAGTCAAACAAAATGTTTCTAAATTTTTTGTTCTATGAATATTACACACGAGTCTAAAAAATAAAAATATATGCTATATTCTTGGATCAAAGCGTGATATAACTTTAATTATTAACAGACCGCAGATCTTCTGAAAAAAATGTATTTCTTCTTCTAATAATTCTTAATAAATAGCAACGTTTTTGAATTTTTCTAATGTGTTTACATTTTAGTGGTTTATCCTGCAATTATGACATATTATACAGAAAAACAAAGAATTCCACAAATTATAAATAAAAATAAAAAACTCCGTAAGAGATAAGGAGTTAAAGGACTCTCTCGCTCTCTCTCTCTCTCTCTCTCTCTCTCTCTCTCTCTCTCTCTCTCT